TGGTGGTGTCACAGCATTTTCAATTATTCGTTTAAAATTCAATAATTGCCTTCTTGAAACATTGAATATAACCTAAGAGTGTAACTAGAGATTATGTGAATGCCTGCTTATTTACCATAACCCACTTTACAAAATGAAAAAAAATGACAAACAGTTTTACAATAAATTTGACAGCTGACTGCATGTGCAAGTATGAAAAAAACATTTCTTTAGTGGCAAAAGGTTGCACCATATCAAACTCTCAACTGATGGTTCAAAAGAAATTCCAGTTCTTTTGAAAGAAAAGAAATAGTACATTTGTTTTTAAATTAAAAAAAAGTCGAAATTTATTGATTAATTCCAATCAACAATTACGTCTTATTGCAGTTGTAAATAAAGTTTGGGAAAGCCAACTAACGCCCGTAAGATATGATCGTACGTTGACTCGCTCGAAAACAAAGTGTTGGTGACTCAATGGTATACTGTATATTGTAGGTATTATAGGTATATTATAGATTACTTTTGATTAAAAATCTGCCCAAGTTCTGCTACGAAATAATATATACGAAAGTAGAAAAGCAATGTACAGGTCATTCAATTTGTACCAGTTGGGATGTAAACCTTAACTCTCTCTTATTCCTTGAAATAGTGGTCGAGTTTCATTCGACGGGAACCTAAGTTACTTTATTGTAAAATAGAAATACACGTTCATAAATAAATGAAATAAGAGTTCGTGTTCGTCGTATTTGGTTAATATTGTGAGTTGCTCGCTCCTTGTGTTTCTTTCGCATTATCAGTTTCGAATCGTCGACCTTATCACCTAGAGTGCAGAGAATAGAAATAGCAACATAGCATCACAAACAGATTCTCAAACTTCGGGCGATCATATGGACGAATAGAAGACAGTTTGAACTATTACTCTTGACAGTCTCACAATTTTACGTCGGGTTCGAAATAGGAGTTGCAAATTGAGGACATTTTTTGAACCTACTCATTGGTTCTTTGGCGCGATGAACTTTGAAAGGAAATCTTTACTACCTAAGCAGAACGCAGATTTCGAGTATTCGAAAACTTTTTGAAAGGGAGCTCATCGGACAGCGCGTGATCTATAACCTATAAGAAACTGGTATTGGCTTTGAGCAAAAAACAGTTTCCTGATCCACACGAAGTCGAAAAACAGTGAAAACCGCTACCTTAGTGCTAAAACCATCTTAAATTCGGACAAGGAGAGCATCCCGAGCCAGTAAAAGTTGCAGAGGACGCTTCGAAGAGGCTCACAAGTGGTTTTATTCTTATCTTCTATGAGATTAGTTTCGAAAGATTCAAAATTACAACGTCAAAAATGTTTACTTTCGATAAATGCATCTGAAGACCGCTGGAAACGAAACGTGTACATTAGGGAAAGATTGAGTTTGGCTTTGGAGATTTGAACCTGGGCTTGGAAAAACCTTCCAAAAGGAGTCTTAGAAGTAGGGTAAATTATCTTGACTAACTCACAACTCACCATTTTACGGGCAGTGTCTTGACACCAAAATCGCGTGCAGGATCTGTGACGTATTGCACGTTGTCATCTGAAACAGCCAGCTGAAGGTTGGGAAAACGAAGGATGAGAGTGGCAATGGCAATTTCAACCTCGACGCGTGCTAAATGCTCAGCAATGCATATGTGAATACCATCGCCGAAGGCGAGATGAGGATTTGGCCGACGGTGGATGTCGAAACGAGTTGGATCCGGGAAAACAGATCCGTCCTCGTTGGCCGACGCATTCAAAGCCCAGACCCCTTCGCCCTTCTTGATTGTCTGACCACCCACTTCCACATCCTCAATGGCCACTCGACGCGTGGCAAACTGTGAACCCGTGAGATAACGTAGTATTTCGTCCACTGCACCTTTGATGAGAGATGGATCTTGACGCAGCTGGTTGAGTTGATCAGGGTGCCGAAGGAGCGTGAGGGTGCCGAGGGTAATCGTGCTCGCTGTCGTTGCATTACCGGCAACCAGAAGGAGAAACGCCATGGCGACGAGTTCATCGCGAGTCAGTTTTCCGGTTTGGACTTGCTCCTTCACGAGGCGACTGATTATGTCGTCGCTCGGCTCCTTCTCTTTTTTATCCACCTAGAACGATAAGAAAAAGCATTTACAACAAACACACAAATGGACAGAAAACGCCACCGTAATTAAAGAGTCGTCACCAATACTTATGCAAGTGTGCTCGCCTGGAAGTTCCCAGAAGGGAAGCCAAAATTCTTGACAATGTGATCAAAAAGTAGTCGCAGAAAAACGGTCAAACAAAGCTCTCACTTTGACTGTCGCATCAGAACTTTTCCAAAACAAGAGACTCGATTGTTGCAGGATTATCCATGATATCTGATGGAAAATTGAAAGTTCGTTTTTCTGAGACTTTAATAGTGATATATATACTTCGAGAAATTTGATGGTTTATTATTCTGATTCGCCGAAAAACACGTACGGCAATTTCCGGACGGCAGTTCGATGAGTTGTTAGCTCACATAGCTCAAATGATTCTCAAGAGAGTTGTAGGTTTTCCAAAAACGCTTGGTTTATGAGGCGCATGCTTTTCTTCTCTCGTTTCAGAAGCATTTTTATCAAAAAGTGATGACATATTTGGGGTCTGCGCACGAAACTGCATTCAATGACGTATAGTTTGTCAGTTGTTCAAATAAAAATGTCTGACTAAAAATTAGGAGAAGGGTCGTCGGCTGCGATTGTTCATTAATAATTGTTTTGAGTTTCACTTTATTTATCAATGACTTTTTCCTAACAGAAACTAATATTTCTATAAAAACAGCATAAATCTCTTTTCTGAAATTCCTTTTCATTGCTGAGAAAATTCATTTTTTCTAAATCTGAGGCGGAAAAGCTTGAATTCTGCTCGTAATTCTCAATTTTCTCAATCAATACTCAACTTCTGTGTAATAGAAATATCATATTCGGAATCAGGATCAAAAACTGAGTCAACTGCTGTGTATCTGTGTCTTATACGGGTATATTAAAGCTTCTAGAATTTTCACGTTGAAGAGTCATCAAGATGTTCACCAAAAAGGAAGGTGAGCTAAAAATTGCGAAACACACATCAGTCGGCTCAGTTTTTTGATCCTGAAACCGAATATGATATTTTTAATACATAGTAGTTGAGTTCTGATTGAGAAAGTTGTGAATTACGGACGGAATTCCGACTTTTTCACCTTACATTTAGAAAAACTGAAATTTCTCAGCAATAAAAGAAATTTTAAAAAAGCGATTTATAACCTTTTTGGCCATGGAAAGGCGAGTTGAACACCATACAATCGAAGATTTCATCTCTTACCAGAAAAAACTAGATACATGTGCAAAAACAACTGGCCTGACATTGTAGTAAAAAAATATAAGGTGCACGTGGTGCAAAATTCGAGTAAGACTTTTTTTTAATATATTATACATCATTCGATGTAGAGTTCGGCGTTGATCTCGAATATCTACATTTCAGCTTTAAAAATTCGTTTTTGAACGAAAAATCTCCAAAATATCAGAAAGGTCTCAAATTCCGAAAAACCCTTCGGTTTCAATAAAATGCAAATTTTTTCTGTTTTGTTCTTCTTACTTTTCGAAAGTACCTTTTTCAGATTCAGCATTAAAAGCTGAGTATGAGAATGATACTTGATCGAGGTTGAAGTCAAAGGTCTCTCCAGTATGGACGTCATGGGCCCCTCCTGTAAAAAGTTCCTAGACAATTTCGCAAACCAATCTAGTTTTGTTTGTAGAGCCATGAAACCGACTTTTTTATTTCATTAGAACCTCCGTTAAACGAGTTTTAAAAGTACGTTTCTCTTTTTTATGTATTTTGCTTTACTACTGAGAAAATATATTTTTATACAGTCCGGAAATCGGCGTCGAATGATATATGTTTCGAAAATTTTGAGTGATTTTCATTTTTTAGTAAACATCTCAGTAATTTTTCGACGTGAAAATTGAAAAAAAACAAAGATGGTCGGATAGGATAAAAGAGTACATCATTCGGCTCGGTTTTCGACGTTGACTCCGAATATGATAATTTTATTACATTCAAAGTGAGCTTAGATGGAGAAGATAGAGAATTACGGGCAGAATTTTGATTTCAGCGTCGAATGATTTGCTTTTTCATCCTATCCGACCACCTGTGTTTTTCTCCAATTTGCTTGTCGCAAAATTACTGACATTTAATTACTGCGCACGAACCGGCATTCAATCACGTATAGTTTGTCAGTTTTTCAAATAAAAAATGTCTGACTGAAAATTAGGAGAAGGGTCTGCGGCTGCGATTTTTTATTAATAATTGTTTTGAGTTTCACTTTATTTATCAATGACTTTTTCCTAACAGAAACTAATATTTCTATCAAAACAACGCAGATGAAATAGGAACCAGAGAGCAAACCTGAGATTTCAATACCGACAGTCTCAGCAAATATCGGATGGTATTAAACTTTCGAGAAGAGTGATTTACATTCCTTTCCGCTTTTCAGAGCAGGGCATAGGCTAAGGTATCTCTCAAACTCAGCCAGAGCATCTACTGATGACTACTATTTCGATTTTAGGCGAGAATACTGTTTATTGAAAACACATCGACATCTCCGGTGTAGGAAGGCTTCAATTTAGAGAGGTTTTCCTGTAGAAGCTCTCCTGAAGTCAACCGATCCGGTAGTAGTTGGTAGGAATGTGGGATGAGGATGTGTTGCTCAAAAATTCAGTCTGTAAAATGGCTTACCAGGCTCCCAAGGTAGTCCATAAGATCTTTGCTTGCGGCCGCCGATTCGGCGGATGTTGCGCTACCATTTGTGCGGATACTATTGCAGTTCTCCAAGAACTCGTGATCTTCGTAGGGGACACCCAGCATTTGATAGATGACCAACGTGGGCACTGGCATTGAAAATGAGACAATTAAGTCAACCGGTTGTGGCTGAGCAGTCATCTCATCGATGACCTTGTCGACAATCTGCTGGATGCCGGGTCGCATTGATTTTGCCTTCTCAGCTGTGAAATCTTGTTCGACCATTGCTCGGTGACGTGTGTGCTCGGGCGGATCCATGTCCACGAATGTCGGCTTGCCCGCGCGGGCTGCCGCTTTGCCTCCAGGTCCGGTTTCCGGGAATCCTGGGTGAGTGCGCACTTTGCTGAAGCGTGGATCGGTGAGAACTGTGTGAACGTCGCTGTGTCGAGTTACCAACCAGACGGAGCTGCCATCCCAAATTTTTGCTTTCGATATCGGCTCTTCCTTGCGTAGTCTGGTATACTCAGCCGGCGGACGAAGAGGCGAAGAACGCGGCATAGGAAACGATGGTACTACAAGCAAAATACTCAAGTAGCTACTAATCGGAAACGTTCAGAGAAGACTGAATTGTGCTTTTATAGTGCAGATTTTACATTGTTTGATCAATACGTAGATGCCAACACCAGAATGCCGCGAAACAGCTAGAAAGTCTCCTGTGTAGTTCCGCTGATTCATACTAAAAAACTTCGATCGCTCGCTAATTTCTTTGATATTATATCTGTGCAGCACAGTAATCTCGCTGCAATCAGTTCCCGATACACAAGTCGAACGTCAACTGTTCAGTAGCCTTTGCAAAAGCCTATGAATGGCATAGGTGTGCAAGCAGATATTTTCATAAACAGATCATGGCCTGATATAGCCAAGAGGTTATTTGTTCCTTTTTGCATTTGTGAAAAGTTTTGAAACGCATTACTCACCGTCCGGCATTGTAGTTAAATATTCTCTGCGGCTGGAAATCACGGTGTGCTTCTGTTGAAATACAACGAACGGCTATCAATATGGTCTAATTTATGGGTGTATGTTGCGTCTGATATGAAAGAAAAGTAAAAATGTAATATAAGTAGTGTATAATAGACGATGGAGGTCCCAATAACATTTATTTACGTCTGTTTACATTCTTACCTCTACACATCTCAGTAGTTAGTGCCAGCTGAGATAAAAAGAATAGAATGAAGAGGGTTTATGAGTGAGTAGCATGACGAATCAATCCAAAAGCGTTTCTGAATGGGTTATGCCTCTCGTGAAAGACGTTTCTAGAGTTCACTATGGAGATTTTCCAAAGAGCTGCATGGAAAACCTAGAAAAAAGTCAACCCTTTTCTTGTTCGATTATTTTTTGATCCTTCCTGTAGACTGGAATTCTGAATTATAGCCCGCCGGGTCGGCGATCTGCTCGAGCGCGCACTCGTGTTACTGGATGGAACAGGAAATTGTCTATCGAAGTTTATCAGTAGAACTGCGCATTTTCTGGAGCTTTCTTTTCGCTTCGGATAAGTGATCATGAAAACATACAGTGAAATTCCGTACAAAGCCACAACAAGCATTTTTGGAGTGTAATTTTCAGACATATTCAGCATCTTTGTAGCATTAGTTTTTATTCACATCTCATCTACCAACTTTTCGAAAATCGAAAATTTGCCTTACAGGCACTACGGACTACTCTGACCTTGATATCAACCTAGAAATACAACTACTTGAAAAATAATTGGTTTTGAAAGGTATAAATAACTATAAAAATTATCACAGATGATACAATCAACATCAAGAAATTTTAAGAGATGACCGACGGCAAAATCGAGTATTCACTCTGTAGACTATAGCATGGCAAAAGTGATTTTTCCTGAAATCTTTCATTCGATTACAAAATTAGATACGTCATAGAAAGTTCTGTTTTGTCTTGAAACGTTAAACTCGATGAGAAACAAGTTTTTTCGAAAATCCTCATGGTTGGAGTTTGAATTTTCGAAAATAGCGATATTTCCAGTATTTTAGCTCTTATGCCACTAGTTTCAAATCAATCTTTTTCAAGTAATATGTTTTTATTCAATCGAGCTCAAAAAGCTGAATATTGTAGAGAATACTATCGATAGAAGAGATATTTGTATAGAACAATTTTTAGAGGTTCTTCTCCTGGATTCAATCTTCCGACCTTTCATACGCTGCACTTCTCCAACTACGCATTTTCCCATTAAACTAAGTCGTGCAAAAGGAAACTACAAGTTATGATGATAGATTCCTATTAAACAAATACATTAAATATATACATAACTGTACGGCCTTCCTACGAATATATCATCATAACTCGTACTTTCCTTTTGCACAAATTTGTGCCATGGGAAAATGCGTAGTTGGAGAAGTATAGCGTATGAAAGGTCGGAAGATCCAATCCAGGAGAAGGACCTCTCAAAATTGTTCTAAAGCTGAATATTGTAGTGGGTTTTTCTATTCTTAGAACTTACAGCTTCATGCAGAAAATCTTGAATTTTTAAACATTTTCAGTTTGTTGGTTACATTTCAAATAAAACCCGGTAGATTATACGACGAAAACTTTTAATACTGTGTGTCTTGTAGCCCTGACGGTTCTGCTTCTAATGTGCAGTTAGAATCTTTTATTAAGTTCCGCGAATGTTTGTCGGATTCGTTAGACTCGTAGTCAGCTTAGTGAATTTAACAAAATAACATATGGTGTCAAAATCCGAGACTAACAGCTACAGACCTTCATAGGACTGTAGCTAGGAACAATATTATAAAACTTCTCGATCTCTAAGTGAAACACAGAGTTTTTAGAAGATGCCGGAGGGTACGAGTATGGTTTTTATCTCCATTTGTTTATATATGGTTGGATAGAGCGCATCGACCTGAGTAAGAAAAGCGGCTTTTAATTGTTTTTTAAATTTTAAGATTCTAAAAGGATATGTACAGTATTTTCATAAAAATGGTGGAAAGAGTTATTACACACAGTACTTGAATGAGCTAAGCATGAATATGCAGTTCATTTTCACTGGGGATGTAGCATCAGAGAGATAATTCTTACTCAACATTATTTAATTTAAATGACCCAAAATAGCACTTATAAGATCAACATGAATAAACTATGTTTACTTTGATAAACTTCATTAAATATGCAATCGATAATGCTTTTCACATCTTATAAGTGTAAGTTATTAAATATCAAAATAGTTTTAATTTCTTCTTCATTCAAAGTTTATATGATCGCTCAGGCCTAAAATTACGATTTTTCAACTTTATTGTACACATACATTAGAAAATTAGGTACTTTTGCCGCGCAGCACCACATTAGATAAAAATTGGGCGCTAGGTGCAAAATTTTTCGGTGAATCC